ACAATTAAATCTAATGATTAAACCCAGATATAATTGAGCCGTCGACCATTAGCCGTTAATCTATTTTTAGAACACAAACGTTTCAAGTTAAAATACGATCTCGATAAATTATTATATCAATATAGGGTAAAAATTGAAATATATACAAATAGGAACTGAAACTTTTTTTGAATCAAAAATCTTGAAATTGATAAAAAAGTGTCAGACATGGGTTTTCCTAGTCAACGACCCATATATGATATTATCGTTCTTTCGATTTAGTTGGTTCGACGAATTTTGCAGATCATTTTTTTGTCATATTCCGTGAAACTTACTGAGTATTTCTTATTTATTCGTAGATTTTCTTTTTACAGGCTCCGTATTATAACTCTAGATTATTTGCTTTTTCAAATTGTTTGCTTTTTTTAGGGAGCCATAACTTGCAACACAAACTAGATTGTTTACCTTTTTTGAAAGAAGCCATTGCTTACAAATGTAACCTCTTGATTGTTCTTTTTTGGGGACTAAGACTTACTATCATAAATAAGCCTTATAATCGAAGTTTTTTTGTTTAGTAGGGAAAGTCAAAAAAAAGAATGCATTTAGTTTTCAGGATTTTTAAAATTCAACATAACCACTTTAGTATTCATGTGTATTCATGATATATACGTTTAGTGATGGGACAACCGAGTTGTTAGTTAATACAATAATAAAACAATTATTAATTAGTTTAATTTCGCTAATTGTTAAAAATTATTATGCAAATATTTTAATCACTGCATATTGTAACGAATTAAAATTTTATTTTTTATATTATTGTAAATAATCCCTTTATTTTCTCAGTAAAACACCGCATGTACATAGTTTATTAATACTTCCCCCATCCATTTTGGTAACAATGTCCAATTTAGTATCTAATCTAATAATACAATTTTTCGCTTCGACTCATCAACCCGTAGATCTTTTCGTCTTTTGGCATTCTCGCCTATCACCAACCTGTTGATCCTTTCGTCATTCGTCATTCGTTACCAACCGCGTGCATCTATGTGCCCCCCAAAGATCAGCATTCGGCCAATCAACATCAATTATATAGATACTACACGAACGATCAGTGTGTAACGTTAAAATTAAAAAAACAAATCGTTTATTTAAAAATCGTTTATATCTCGAAATTTTGCATATGAAACTATCTTTTGCGTTATAACAAAAAAAATTCCTTGCAAAATTTTGGTATATGTTTTTCTAAAACCCTACCCTTAACCTAACGCTATTTTTGACCCTACCCCTAATTTTGATTAACGTTAATCAACAACAATGATGCTGATCTTTGGGGGTACATAGATGCACTCGTTACCAACCCGTAGATCAGATTGTGTTTCAGTATTCGTTTGTGCATATGATTAGTTCGAAGAAATGATCGTCCTTTTTATTTGATCAGTTCGATTAACGTTAATGATTGTCAACTAGGATCATCAGATGCTTGGATGATCGTCGATGGAAAAATTGGTAGGAATGAATGCGGGAATATTTTCGAGGAAAGGTTTAGTGGCGAAGTAAAATCAGATAAGCAAGAGGTGAACGGGTGTTAATGGAAAGAATGTTTGAACGGGGCGATCGTTCGGATTTGTAGATAATTCGCATATATTTACATGATGAATAATTTTTTTTATACGTTTTTCAATATTTCTTTTGGAAGCCCGGGTAGATTAACTTTCTATAAAGCGATGGTAAATTTAACAGATGAATTAATACTTTCGTTTCGCCTTATGGCATATTCTTTGAATTCCCGTAAATTCCACGACTTTTATTTTGCGATTTGATTAGTCAATTTACTAACATTCAAGATACGGAAATCATCTACGGAATTGAACGATCACACTTGTTGATGTTGTGATGGTGATCCTGTTTATTGCTTATCATCATGTACAGCCTTAAGTTCCTGAGAACATTTTTTAGAGAATAGTTAGGACGTCTCTTCGGGAAAATAAACTTATTTCTGATGTTTATTCTTCCTGAATAGATATAGAAAAGTTACGGTTTTTCTTTGAGTTTGCGTCGTCAATAGGTTTGCTTAGTAATTAGTGATGGTAATTAAGTTATACCACTTACCATATATTATACGTGTATCATAAAAAAAAAAAAAATAAGTTACTTTGTTCTAAAATAAATATTATTATACTATTATAATAATATTGAAAAAATAAAAAAAAAACCAGCGAAAAAAAAAAACCAACAAAAAAAAAATAAAAAATCAAAAAAAAATCAAAAAAAATCAAAAAAAAATAAAAAAAAATAAAAAAAAATAAAAAAAAATAAAAAAAAATAAAAAAAAATAAAAAAAAATAAAAAAAAAAAAAAAAAAAAAAAAAAAAAAAAAAAAAAAAAAAAAAAAAAAAAAAAAA